CTCAGGTACCCAGGTCCGATGCCATGTAGGGCTTTATAGGTAGCGACCAGCACCTTGAAGCGGATTCGGAGACTAATAGGTAGCCCTATTAAGTATATAATTAAGTATAGGGTGTATTACCCTGTTTCCCTGAAAGTAAGACCTCCCCATATAATAAGCCCAACCGGGCTTTTTAGCACATGTGTTAAAAATAAGCCCTCCCTGAGAATATTGCAACACAGCAGCAGCCATGAGGTGACCATATTCACTGCCTCCTGCACCTCAAAAATAGCAAGACTTCCCTGAAAATAAGCTTATAAGCCAAGCGCTTATTTCGGGGGTCAAAAGAAAATAAGACCTTGTCTTATTTTCGAGGAAATACGCTATTTAAATAACTGATCACTTGCCATGTATTGAATCATGTTTTTCCATATTAAAAATTATATTTTGGTGGAATATTTGAGGGAATTCTGTGAGTACTCCCTAGGCTAAACCTTAAGGTTAAACCCTCAGCCTTCTGATGTCAGCTTATACTCCCATAATTTAGGGCCATTCAAAGGGAGAATTCCTTGATGATACCGGTCAAAAATCATCCTCTCTTCTCTTCCTTACTGGCTTTTATTTATATACTACTAATACTCTCTTTCCTATAATCTTTAATTGCACAAAACAGTGTACCATGGAGCAAAACATTTTGAACCAAGGTATGTCAAATGAACAAACTACAGAAGCTTCCAAAATCCAGGACTCAGGACTCCCATGGAGTTGAAGTTTAGCAACGTTTATACAATACTTTATGACATAAAAATGATCATAAAGCATTTTGTGACATAACACAAAAAAATCATATATTTTTTCCCCATGGTCAACTCCTGGTGGTCAATTGTGCTATACAGTTAAATGTGGGCTACTTTCAAGGCAGATACCTCTCTGAATATCTCCCTGAATTTTAAAGAACTTTTCAAGTGCGTCAAAAGCTCTGCCATTGTTGAAGGCGCTGGGAAATCTAATAAGGAAATATCTCTGAAATAACCTAAGGGGGGTGTGGTCATTAATTGTCTCTAATGGAAATTGAAAGGGAAGAAGAGTTGTTTTTGTGGTCTAAAGCTCTACTGAGCCCTGTTGCCTCCGATGGACACCTAGGAAAAAGATTATGGAAAAAGCGAGGCGATAAGAAGCAAGGTTTTACAAATGCAAGGCACTTTCGTCTGACATCCTCATTAAATTGTGTACTAAGTTAGGGCAAATGTGCCATAAAAGCTTGCCCTAAAAGCACCTCAGAAAATGGCGAAGAAAGATAGAGAGTGGAAAATGTTGTCCTTTGCCCCTGCCATAAAATATTACGAACAAGGCAAAGCCTTGTTTAAAAGCCTCTCTGAAAGCATCCCCTCAGTGGCTGGCTTCAAGCAGAGAGATAGCTATTTTACATGTAATTTGCAAGTTGTTTTGTTTAATGGATCAGTTAAACGATCTGAGTCAGGTTGTTTACTGAAGTAAGCAGGATTCCTTGCCAAACACATTTCTGTTGGAAGACTTCAGGCTTACCGAGAAGAGGAGGAGCAGGGGCGGGGGAGGGAAGCAGGATCTTGTAGCATCAGAGTTGATTACAACCAGGGTGTAGCAAGGGCAATAAGACCAGAGCTGAGGAAGAAATGGAGTTACAAGCAAGCAGAGCAGCAGAGAAAAATGCTATCTAAGTCAGAAGGAATATAATAATTGTTGGTATCTTCCTACTGTCCAAGTAGAATGGCACATCCAGCAAATAGAAGACCAGAGAACTCCAAAATCGTAAGTCATGCTTGTATATCTACTAGCAGCTACCAAACTTTATTATGCTTGTTACTTTTAAGGTGGTATTCTTCATTATCCCTATTGAATGTATTTTGTGAATTCAGTATGCTAGTGAAGCCTTCACTGTTTACTTTTTAAATGGGGTGTGTTGGAAGAAAGAATCCTTTTTGACCATACTTCCGTTTCCAGTGCTTGTGGTTATGGCAAGGATGATTTTCCACAAAATTGAATCTATAGAAAACCCACAAAACCACTGGCGTTCATCAATTTTTATTTTTATTTTTAAAGTTTTTTATTTGTAGTCTCTTACATACATTTACAGGTATACGTTCTCACAGTTATTATTCTTATTATATTTTATCACTTTTATCCATTTGTTTTTCCATATAAAGAGTTAAAGTATATATTCAGGGATTGCTTTGCTTACCGTCCCATACACCTGTTTTGTGTTACCATCATCCTACTTTTCCTTCCTTTTCTCCCTCCCTTCCGTCTCTACTTTCTTCCTTCCTCCTCTCCTTTCCCTTTCCTTCTTCCCCTTCCTCTCCCCTATTCCTTGCTTCCCCTTCCTACCCGCTCTCCTTCCCTTCCTATCCTTCCCAGGCTTCCTCTCCTTTCCTCTTTCTTCTTTCTATGTGACTCTATCTATCTATCTATCTATCTATCTATCTATCTATCTATCTATCTATCTA